GAGGTAAACAAACAATTCTTATTTGTAAGGATCTTATATAAAGTAATGTAAATAGTTAATTTAACAAGACTTGGAAAAAAACAAAAACCAACAAGACAGGTATTCTGAAGTCAGGAATGGGACCCTCAGACACTCTCCAGCTTCCCCTACCGGCGGCATTGATTGATGTAATTAATCATATCTTAAAGATTACTCTTTAGCAGGGTGATCTGTCATGCAGATTTCCATAAGTGTCTTCTAATTACTCTTTTTGCTTTTCTTGTAGCTATTACATCCAGATTCCTCAAGATGGATTCATGAAAGAATAAGCCTACAAGCCCCTTCCGTAAGTATAGCATTGCAAGTGCAAATAGTTCTGAAAACTCTGAAAAAACTAAGATATTATTGTTTATGCATGTGCATATTGAAGACCAATGAATAATGCATGTACGCCCTTCAAAACTGTATTTACTTTTTGTTTTAATGTTCAAATTAGAAAATTTGGAAAATGAAAAAATAATCACTCCTTCTACCCAGGGGTTAGTGTATAGCAGACATATTTCTGTAACTGAGGAATAGGTTAGAAATAGGTTTCTGAGTCAGAGTATTAATTTATAGGATCATTTTAATGATCGATTGCCTCACATGTTCATGACTGATGCACAGTCTTGGCTGGGCACCGGGCTAATTCACACCTTTTCACTTTTAAAGATATTTTTATCACTACAGTTTTGTACATACTTGTGACTATTTACTTGAATTCCTAGAAGCAGAATGGCTGGGCCAAAGAGTTGCATGATCTTTGCCAAATCACATTCCACCAGCTTTGTTAGCAGGGTGGGTCATGGGCCTCTCAGAACTCACTCTGCATTTGGCTACAGAAAAACAGCTCCAGCAAACTGTTCCCATTGCCATTTCTCTGATTATCAATAGTTTAATATTTTTCATTTGTTTATTTTTGATTTTCATTCTTTTTCATGAATTGCTTTTTATGTCTATTAGCCTTTATTAAAGTTTTTTATACAACTTTGATAATTGTTTTAAAGTGACATCTGCCAGTTATGTTATAAGTTATGTGATTATATTTTATATAATACAAAGCTTGTATAATCACATATAGAATATATTAGGAATATTAA